TGAAGAGGGCTTTAAAGATTATAGGGTCAGCAGGTCCGTGGATGTACAAGTCTACGGCTTAAGGTTAAGGCCAGGGTCAGTGACACAGACAGGAACAGGCTACTGGGGGTGACAATGAGTTCGAGTTGACTGTGGGGTGTGCCGAGAGCCACTGCTGTCCCTGGGCTGGTGCTGGGCCCTGATGACATTCTTCTCCTTTCCCACCTCCCTTGGCACTTCTCTTACCTCTGGGCATTCCGTCTCCAAATGCTTTGCAGGCTCTTTCTCCTCTCATAAAACGTGTCTGGGTGATTTCACCACTTGCACTTTCTACTGTATATCTATCAAATCTTATCTGCAGCAGCTCAGAATTCTTATGTTAGATTGAGACTTGTGTCTCTGATTTCTTTCTTCTTCTTCTTTTCCTTCTTTTTTTTTTTTAGAGCACATGCACTTGCCAGAGAGACAGAAAGTGAGAAATCACCCCCCAGGGGGAATAGCTACACTGCAATCCCTTGTCCATTCTCCTCTCACGCTCTTGAGCACACATGCACATGCACCCAGAAGTTTGAAGCTGCTAGGTCCAGAACTTGAAAAATGGTTGACTATGTGGGAGTCCAGCGACATAACCATTTCATCTTCTGCTGGTTCCTCTAACCAATTTCTGAGGCAAAAATCAGTGGTGTGGCTGATTGTCCAGAAGCCACATGAAGAGTTTGTGTCTCACTGTCCGATTTATTTGTATTCAGGACTGACACTGTGTATGTGACTTTCTCTTTTCCTCTGCAAATAATTAAATCAGAGATCAGGGGCCAGAATTTAGACCTGTTAATATATACTAATATGTACCTCCACTTCCCCACCCTACTGTAATCTGTATATATCTCTTTTAGGAATATTTATGCCTAGAATGTTTTCTTCAGACCAAAGGTACATTTTTCTTTCTTTTTTTTTGCTATAGGGTGTTGTGCATTCACCAGAGAGACAGAGAAAGTGAGAAAGCACTCCCCGGGGGGATGGCCACACTGCAATCCCTTTCCCTCCCTATTCCTCTTGGGATTTTGGGCATGCACACACACACATCCGATGTATTTTTTAAGCCTCCAGTACGGGACTCAAACTGTGCAGTAAGCCATGCAGGATCCAGCAGCCTTAATCTCCATGTCACCTAGCTAGCCTTAGGTTCACTGTTTTGAAAACAAAAGTTATGACCAAGAATTCCTTGTTCTGTTATCACTTAATCACTATTTTGAAGATTAAGGGACTCTGAACTCCCAAGCAAACCACAGCATAACACACTTTATATGTACAGAAGTTAGTCCAAACACTAAACCAGTATTTTGACAAATTTACTTAAAAATGTTTTTTGGGACCAGCAGTTAGCATAATGGCTATGTTGCTGGACTCCCATGTAGTCAACTGTGGTTCAAGTCCTGGACCCAGTGGCTTAAACTCACGCTGGTCGTATGTGCGTCCGTGCCCAAGATCCCAAGAGGAGCATGGAGGAGAAGGGATTGCGGAGTGGTCATCCCCCTTGGGGGGTGATTTCTCGCTTTCTGTCTCTCTGACTCTCTGGCGAGTGCACGTGCCATAGCAAAAACCTCTCCAAAAAAAAAATTTAAAAATGTTTTTCACATCAACTACTTAAAACTAGTTACAATGGGCCAACAAGGGGCATGGTGATTAAGGTGCTGGGTCCCACATGGCCGACTCCTCAGTCCAAGTCCCTACCTGGAGGCCTGATAAATGCACCAGGTGCATGTGCATACATGCCCAAAATCCTGAGAGGAGAATGGAGTAGGAGGAATTGCAGCATGGCCATCTTCCAGGGGGGTGACTTCTCATTTTCCTTCTCTGTGTCTCTCCGGTGAGCATACCCGCCCCCCCTAGGGAAAAAAAAAAAAAAAAAAAAAAAAAAATCTAAAAAAAAAAGAAAAACAAACTAGTTATAGTCATATGATTTTCTCTCCCAAAGAACACAGTAACCTTGTTAGAACCATTCAAAACAAATAAACAGAACTACCTTGGTATGGCCTTGTGGGCTAAAAAAAAATCTTCCTGAGTTCATCTGAGGTGATGTGTTGACCATCATCTGTACCAGAATTCAGCAGCGGCTACAGTAAGGTTCTTTCGTACATATCCACTGTGTACCCATTTCTTTGAACATAATCCTTTGGGATGATTACTGCAGTATGAATCTTTAGCATCTTGAAATTCTACTTAAGAGTTGGTTCCTTTTGCTTTCAGAAGCCACTCATATAAATCGCACTGCTTCTTTTGTAGATTGGCTAACGGTTTAGAAATGGTAAGCTGCATGGTGATTTCCTGTGTGAGCGATTGTGCAGTGACTTCTGGCCTTGTCTTTGCATGCCTAAGGGAGTCAGCCCATGCATGAGCAATGGTAAGTGCCTTGGGGAAAGCTAGTATTTTTGTTGTTGTTGTTGTTAATCTGAGGCTTTTAAGAGTCCTCAAATCTCATCTTGATTTGCGTATATACCCTCAGACCCACAGAGAAACACGGATAAGAACATGACTGTTTCCACTCTTCACAAAGTACACAGGACTCTGATGAGAAACATCAACAGTTTATATAAATGTCCATTTCCATACCAATTTATAAATTCAAAAATTTTCTCAAAAAGAACAGTAGATACTATTTTTATAATCAATTTTGGATGGGAGTAGTACATGTAACACCTATAGGAAATTGTAACAATTTTCTCCCTGTTTTAAATTCCCTTTATTCATTTATGATACTTTCTCTGTCATATACTAAATTCTGCCCATCCTCACATTAATTTTTTATTGCCAAAATACCTTCAAACTATCTGTACACAAAGATATGTGTGTGTGAATATGTGTGTGTGTCTGTGTAATTTAAGTATTTGGTCGAATCTTACGAAACTGTTAATATCTCTAAAAAAAAAAATCTGGCCCAAACTTGCCATATTGTTTTTGTAACATCATCATCCACTGCCTAACTGAACAGCCTACCTTTTAAAAGATGGCTTTTGCAGGCTTCAGGGCAGGTCTACAATGAACAGACCAACCAACAAAATATCAAAGTATTTCAATTGGGAATTCTGCTCCCTCAGCATATTCAGTATTACAGAGTGCCTGAGACACTGCGCTAAGCACCAGTAAAAGAGATAAGCTCCAGACCTTGCTTTTGAGAAACTTACCATCTTTCATAACATATAAAAATATAAATAACATGAGGATACTCCATAAGTTTTCTGTTTCAAACAGGGACAAAATAAACTGTTAATTAAAAGACAACACTTTGGACGTTTAAACTGACTTCAAACATGAAGGGCAAAATGCCAAATACAAATGTGCACCAAGTCTAAACTTAGGTTCAGGTGATAATCACGTGTCGTTCCTCCATGGTTCAGGATCCCAATGTCCTCTCGTCACCCCAGCAGTGACTAGAGATCCTCCAGGTCAGTTAAATCCACAGCCACTTTCAAGAAGAGGGTGTCATCTTTAATGAAGGTGTTCTTGGCATTCTCCAAAGTGGAATGAGCCACAAAACGGGGACAGCCAGATGCAATGTTCATCTCCCCATCGGGTCTTTTAAAGCTGCTGCTATTGGGGTCTGCCCGGAAGGTCTCCACAATGTGGTTTCTTTTGCCACTCTGGTCCAAAAGCATCAGGGTCACCCTCTGCCTGAATGGCCACTGCAATAGTGAGTCAAACTCTCCTCGCATCACCACAAAGTACAGGGACAGGTGTGTCCCCTTCCCAGACCCATCCCCATTCAAGTATGCTCTGGCACAGAGCCGGTAGCCACAGCGGCTGGGGTAGAAAGGGGGGCGGGAAACACCCTAATGTGTTGCGTCTGCGCGGGTTTTTTTTAGCCACAGCGGCTGGTATAGAAGGGCTGGCTGAAGATGGACACTGTGTGCCCATCCACTGCCTCCTTCTTCTTCATCTTGTAGTCTGTCACCTTCCAAATGAGCTTTCCATTGTAGCAGGCCCCTTCTAGCAGTTTAAATCGCTCTTCATTTTTATTCAGCTGTGCTTTATGAATATTAATGTGGGCATCATGCTTATTGGTCTCTCCTTCTAAAACAACTGCAAAGAAGGAACAAAAATTCCATGGGCCTGAAAATTGTTACCCAAAGAACACCAATAAAAAATCCTGACATCTTCAGTGACCACAAATGGTCCATTACCTTAATGTCAGTGACTTGGTGAATATCCCTGTCTAGGCAAGCCAGCACCAAGAAAACCAGAATGTGGTTTAGTACATCCACCTTAGTACAGTGTACAGTATGGTGAAGAGAGGGAGACCACATTCATGATGGCATCTTATTATAGTATATTGTTAAAAGCTGTTCTATTTTGCTACTAGCTATTGCTGTTAATGTCTTACTGTGCCTAATTTGTTACTTTATCACAGGGACATTATGTATAGGGAACAAAACATAGTATATGGAAAGTTTGGTACTATCTGTGGTTTCCAACGTCCACAGGGGTCTTAGACCCTATTCCCCTCAGATAAGGGGAGACTATTGTATTCTTTATTTATATATTTTTAATTTTATGTGTAGGTGGTGCTGTGTGTTTGTTTTTAAAGACAAGAACTCAGTTTACTGCGCAGGTCAGCTTCCGCTTGTGAGCCTCCTTGCCTCAGCTTACCCAGTAGCTGGGACTACAGGCATGTCATGGTGCCCAGGTTTTAGGGTGGGCTGGGAACAGAACCTGGGCCTCCCATGTGGCCTTGGCCTGTCAAGAAGCAGCACCAGCAAAGGCTACCACAGCAGGACTAGGACTATGGTCTCTTAAACTGACATTCACTGGAGTATCAAGAAGATATACTAAGAATTCAACTAGTGCAAATTCTAATAGCTGGGTGAGCTTTTCACTTTCTTAACTAGATGCTTTTAAAGAAACTCTTTCAAATTTTAACACGCCTAAAACAATGATCCCACATCTCTCTCCTTTAGCTTTCTCACACAGTCTATTCTCTTTAAAAATCATCACTTAGCAGGATCAGAAGTTGGCGTAATGGCTATGTCGCTGGACTCCCATGTAGCCAACTGCTGTTCGAGTCCCGGACCCAGTGGCTTAAACTCACGTTGGACGCGTGTGCGTGCATGCCCAAGATCCCAAGAAGAGAATGGAAAAGGGATTGTGTGGCATGGTCAAACCCCCAGGGGGTGATGTCTCGCTTTCTGTTTCTCTGTCTCTCTCTGTCTTTCTGGCGAGCACTATAGCAAAAACCTCTCCAAAAAAAAAAAATCACTTAGGGGCCAGCACGTGGCATGGCAGCTAAGGGCACTGGAGACTCGCACATGGTTGACCATGGTTAGAGTCCTCAGCCTGGCAGCTTGCTTTCTCACTTTCCCTTTCTCTCTCTCTCTCTGTCTCTCTGCTCAAATTAAAAAATAATAAAGTTAAATAAATAAATAATTCTTTTTAAAAAATAACTTAAAAATCATTTTGGGGGATACCAGCAGATGCCATAATGTTTATGTCACTGGACTCCCACACAGTCAACCATGGTTTGAGTTCTGGATCCAGCATAAAACTCATGCTGGGCACGTGTGCGTGTGTGCCCAAAATCCCAAGAGGATAATGGAGAAGGGATTGCAGTGTGGTCATCCTCCCCTTGGGGGTGATTTGTCACTGTCTGTCTCTTCAGCAAATGCACATACCCTATAACAAAAATCTCTCTTAAAAAAAAAATCATTTTGGAATTTCCTGGCCCATTCCCACCCCTTGCCTGTCTTCAGCTCCCACCCAGGCCTCCTTCCTTGTTGTCTACAAGGCCAGAATCTTGTGCTGCTCCTCAAATAATGACATCAACCGCTATTTATCTTGGACAGGTGAGGGTCTATCTGACCCGGTGTTTGCTCGTTTCATGAATACATCAAGACTAGTGAGCTACCAAAAGAAGTAAAATATCACACACATACCTAATCTTTGATCATTGGTTTCTAGCAGGGTAATTTTCTGTTTCACTGTGTCAATCGCTTCCACCAAGGGCCTCAGATCAAATTTGTTTTGCTGCTGGTTAACCATTTGTAATAACTGATGTACTTGAGCTTCCAGCCAAGCAGACTTGTCAATGTGACTGGCGAGAACCTTTTAGTACAAATTGAATCATAACATTAAAAAAAAATTAGTAATTTCTTGACATTAATTTTTTAACTCAACCATTTACATTTAATCAACTAATAAAATGAAAAATAATCTATAAAAGAACAATTCAACAAGGATTGAGGAGATGAGCCACCTAATAGTCACTGTCCTTCTCTCCTGTCCCAGCTCCTGTTCCAAATCTTTAAAATTCTCTTTATCTAGAGATTTTTGCTATAGGGCATGTGCACTTGCCAGAGACAGACAAAGACATAGAGATAGAAAGTGAGAAATCACCCCCCCAGGAGGGATGGCCATACTGCAATCCCTTCTCCATTCTCCTCTCGGGATTTTGGGCATGTATGCACGCACATGTGCCTGGTGTTCTTTATCTAGTATTTAACTCCTCCCTTGCATCTCTTTGCTTGGTTCCCTAATCCATCCTTTCATCTATTCTCATGTTGTCTCTCCCCTCCACCTTATAATTTCCTTCTTTTCTGAAAAGCTATTCTAATTCACTCCTGCTCTGCTAGAAGACCACCTGTTCTGGCCTGAACACTTCAATTAGTGCAGAAGTCCCTGGGGAAGACCCAGTTGCTCTCTCAGATAGAAGAGAATAACTAAGACTATCCACCCTTGCCTTAAGTGCCTTAATTCTGACTGATCAGTTTTTGTATTACAAAAAGCTCAGAAGTGAGATAGTAACAAATGATGGATTTTTTTTCTTGGATACACTCATATATGTGTGTGTGTATATTTCTCTCTGTGTGTGTGTGTATGTACACACACACATGTACATATTTAGTCATGTGCCACATAACAATGTTTAGTTCAACTACAGACTGCAAAACACTGGTGGTCCCCTAAGATTATAGTAGAAGTGAAAGTTCTGGATCCAGCATAAAACTCATGCTGGGCACGTGTGCGTGTGTGCCCAAAATCCCAAGAGGATAATGGAGAAGGGATTGCAGTGTGGTCATCCTCCCCTTGGGGGTGATTTGTCACTGTCTGTCTCTTCAGCAAATGCACATACCCTATAACAAAAATCTCTCTTAAAAAAAAAATCATTTTGGAATTTCCTGGCCCATTCCCACCCCTTGCCTGTCTTCAGCTCCCACCCAGGCCTCCTTCCTTGTTGTCTACAAGGCCAGAATCTTGTGCTGCTCCTCAAATAATGACATCAACCGCTATTTATCTTGGACAGGTGAGGGTCTATCTGACCCGGTGTTTGCTCGTTTCATGAATACATCAAGACTAGTGAGCTACCAAAAGAAGTAAAATATCACACACATACCTAATCTTTGATCATTGGTTTCTAGCAGGGTAATTTTCTGTTTCACTGTATCAATAGCTTCCACCAAGGGCCTCAGATCAAATTTGTTTTGCTGCTGGTTAACCATTTGTAATAACTGATGTACTTGAGCTTCCAGCCAAGCAGACTTGTCAATGTGACTGGCGAGAACCTTTTAGTACAAATTGAATCATAACATTAAAAAAAAATTAGTAATTTCTTGACATTAATTTTTTAACTCAACCATTTACATTTAATCAACTAATAAAATGAAAAATAATCTATAAAAGAACAATTCAACAAGGATTGAGGAGATGAGCCACCTAATAGTCACTGTCCTTCTCTCCTGTCCCAGCTCCTGTTCCAAATCTTTAAAATTCTCTTTATCTAGAGATTTTTGCTATAGGGCATGTGCACTTGCCAGAGACAGACAAAGACAGAGAGATAGAAAGTGAGAAATCACCCCCCCAGGAGGGATGGCCATACTGCAATCCCTTCTCCATTCTCCTCTCGGGATTTTGGGCATGTATGCACGCACATGTGCCTGGTGTTCTTTATCTAGTATTTAACTCCTCCCTTGCATCTCTTTGCTTGGTTCCCTAATCCATCCTTTCATCTATTCTCATGTTGTCTCTCCCCTCCACCTTATAATTTCCTTCTTTTCTGAAAAGCTATTCTAATTCACTCCTGCTCTGCTAGAAGGC